GGCGACGGTGGGGCAGGGCAAAGTGGAGCTCAGAAGCGGCCGCTTTGATGTAGACACGCTCCGCGACTCCTTCACGCCAATAAACTAACGGTTAGGTTAAGCCGTCTCTTTAAGCCGTAATATCATTATCCTTGCCTTGTGCCCTCGGCGCAGCACGATGTCGACGTCAACGTCAACGTCGCTTTTGTCGCGCGTAGCCGCGCCGCGCTTTTCGCGTAAATGTCAACGCGTGTGTTTCTTGCGTGCTTCCGGAAATACGAGTGCATGGCACTGTCCGTTAGAGTACAACGATATGGGGTATATGTTTTAAAGATTTATACGGTGTAGAAGCGCAGGGATGAGAGTCCAATAGAGTCGGCACAGATCAAAGTCTCAAATGGTTGGATCTCAAAATGTCAATGGCACATTAAATATCCGACTCTTTATCCGTTACGCTGCTCTTTAATTTACGCCAACACAACTCGATCGGATACACACACATATACATATAGTTCTGTTCCGAGAGCCGAAAAATTCTCTTTCAACTTTGGCGATCGTGACTAAAAGTACACCCGGTATACGAAGCACGAGTAGGAGGCCATCGGCAGTGCGGCACAACGCCGCGAGCAAGGAAACGGGCTGAAGAAAAAAAGCATCGCGACCAGTCGAAACGAAAGCACCGACCGCAGAAAACCACTGCGGCACGAGAAAACGTATGGCTGCATCCGCATCACCGATATGCGCTCGTTCGACTCGTTTGCGGACTTGATAGCCCACTTTTAATGCACTAAGTCTTCAAAGACATCAGCGTTTCGTTCGAGGTGACAATATTACATGCTCTCTAAATCTGAATCAATGAATAGTCACTAATTATTATTCAGTGACATATTTGGCACTGATAATCAGTGAAGTTACTAACTAAAAAAGAATGTTTGCATTATAGCATTATATAACTGATATTTGTATGTTAATTTTAATTTTCCAATACTATATTCATTGAATTTATGCACTAAAACAAGGTTAGTTAGATTACATAATAAAGATCAACTAGGTTAAGGATCTCATTTCATTCACTGATTACTAGTTGCATACTTGGCACTGATATCAGTGATTATCCACTGATTCAGATTTAAAGTGTAATTTTTGAACTTTTTAAAAAATCACATTTTTCGATTCAAAATTCAATTCATTCAATCGTAACGATGCACCTGTAATTTGTAAATAAACGATAATAAACGATTGTGATTTTTACAGCTACTTTTTTTTTCAAACTGTACAGAAAAATATATATTGTATACAGGTAATAGTTATCTGTATCCAGTATTCCAACAATTTCAGCAAATCTATCATAAGTTTAGCAAAAACGAATTAATTCAAAAGATATTCTAATCGCGTCGAAGTTTTAATATTTCAATCAAGATTATTAAGTTAAAACAAATCGGTTTGCTTAATTATACATAGAAAGTCGCTTCTTCGATCGATTTTATAATATTCTTAAAAAGAAAATTAATTTTTCTTTCAAATACATAATGAGTTTTTCTAAAACTCGTAATAAGTATATTTAAGATTATTATCAAGAAATTATTCTTCATTAAAGATAATTGTTTCTAGAAAAAAGTAAACTGAATTAGCAGTTTTCTTAGCAATAAAATGATACGTATTCTTTCTGATTTCTATAAACTATAAATACCACAGCAGAAAAAAAAGCTTTATAACTATAATATAACTTTATAAGATTCTTTAATCTTTAATTTAATGATCGGAATTGAATTTTACAACAGTTGCAAAATTGCTTTTTCCGCTGCTAAATGCAGTCGATGTTTCCTTGATTGACAATTTAATTTATCGAAAGTAGAGTATTATGCTTTAAGAAGCATGATGAAGAGCGTAAAATAAGAGCGATAAAATAATGTTTTAAACGCGAGTTATTTTAATGGATTCACGAGAAAGTCAACAAAAAAGTTGTCAAAATATTTTTATATTCCTACATAAAAGAAAAGTTATATTAATAACATTAGTCGACAGCAAAATAATCCTATTAATTTTTAATGATAATTTTAATAAAATAAATACATCTGAAATGTTTTAATAAAAAATGTTATATAATATTATTTCAATAAAACAAATCAATTATTTTTTAAACTGCTGTTAATTAATACTGTAATACATCTTTTTTTTTCTGTATAACATGCTCATTCTTCATGAATTTTAATTATCGTATGTTTTAAAATATTTTTAATATTGCCGGATGTTCTCCATAAAACCTTTTAAACATCTGACAGTTCTAACTAAAGCTTTTCACACGAAGAAAATGTCACTGTATGAAATCGCGCGTAAGCAAGACATTAAGGGGAGGATAACAGAAAGAGGGAAAGACGATAAGAGAAAGGGCCAACACGGTGTCCAGATGCTCGAACGTCTGCTAGAAATTTGCACCACAATAAACCCCGGGGGGTTTAAAAAAATTCAGGTAACATCCTTCGGAATCTCAAAGAAATGTAAACAAAGTTCAAACGCCGAAATTCAAAGTGCAAGTCTCCCATCCTTTCATTCCCCACTAAAATTCGTCGGAACTAAAATTCGTCGGAACTACGCCGGACAAAAAATGTCAAGGTAGAAATGATTTTGACAAATGATTTTACAAAACGAGAGGATCCTTTTTCGGAAGGAACGAATGTTACTTTGGGGTGCTTTCTCGGTTGTTACCGCGAAGGTCAGGGTCAGGTATCGCACCGAGAAATTGCGAGCGGCAAGTCACAAATCACGAAGAGGCAAAGGAGGCGCGAAGGGAGAGAGGAGAGAACGAAAGAGGAGAGCGAAAGAGAAACAGAGAGGATGGAAACAGCGAAGGAGGGAAGAAAGCAACAGCGAACAGACGAAAGCAAAAGAGCAATGACTCACTCTGTATATCCGTCGGTGTTTACTGACGATGCCGGGACGACAGCACGGCTTCTTGGCGACTCGGGGACGACTGGCGGTGTAGCCGCGAATCCATGCTCTCGCCGAGGTGTCAACTCGTCTGTACTCGCGGCAATTTGCCGTGAACTGCAACGCGACACACGTCTTGTTTCTTTTCCTTCTCTCACCTTCTCTTTTTGTGCACATTCTCTCTCTCTCTCTCTCTCTCTCTCTCTCATTCACATACACTCTTTTACACGCATTCTGATATATTTACCTATATACGCATATCCCTCTCCTCCTCGCTCGGTATAGACGGATGATCCACCGTGATCTGGTCGGCACTTCTTCGACACGGCGCACACCACTAAGCACACCAACGAACACACGCATTCACGCGCGACTCGCGGCACGCACTCGATGACGGGGTATGACGACGGCAGGACGTGTCGTCGTCAGGCGTCTCGCGGGGACGGAAAACGTACGGAATAGCAGCAGAGACCGCACGCGAAGGGGACACAAGACGTGGATCTAAGGACGGTACGGGAACACCGAGTAACTTCGCAGGCACATCTCGGCGATCGTCGCCATCGGTCGCTGGCTCTCGCACGAGTGCGTGTTCGTACGCGAGCGCACCCTCACGGCTCACCTCTGAACCCGCTGGCTCGCTCGGCCAATTAACGCGGCTCTCCCTCGGTAATCCTCCCTTCTCCCTCCTTCTACATTATTCCTCCTTCATTTCGCGCCAACGCGGTGTCCTCATCGTATCCTGCGGTAATAATTTGTAATAATTAATTATGTAATAATGTATTAATTAATAAAAAAAAATAGAAAAAAATAAAAAAATGTATTTTTCAAAATTACGTTTATATGTTTTTTACTGTTTGTTACATGATGTTTACAAATTTTTATATGTAGACAAAATTAACATATAAATTATTGTAAATTTAATAATACAAAAAATAAAGAAATAATTTAGTTTTAAAATATTATATAATATAATAATATATGATTTTATATTTTTTGCAGAGTTTATCTTTTCTCTTTTCCTTTATATTAGAGAGAAAAAGAGAATTTCTTCAATTTTTTTTTAATAATCTTTTATGGCTTAATATAGTGAAATACAGAATGCGTCTAAAAAGAATAATTCATAAGTAAATATTTTCTTGATTTTTTTGATAAAAAGATTTTTTTTATAGGAATCAATTATGGGAGAAAGGAAAAGTTGGGTGTACTATAATTATTGTGTGTGCGATATAATAATTGCGTGTGGAAATTAAAAAATTACTATCTTCAACGTACTTGATTGTAGCTTAGCAGTGTTGTATGAAATCAATGCGGACTTCAAATAAATTTTACTTTAAATATGTTACCAAATCACACGTACGTTAACATTCAAGTTAGGACTTCTTACAATCAATTAAACAAATTTAATTTTTAATTAATTTTCAACATTTTAGCAAGATAAAAATATATTTCTATCTCCCTCTTTCTCATTAAAAAAATTAATATCTAAATAAGAAAATAAAATTTCCAATTTTAATTT